CAGGAAGCATTCTTTGAATCATGACGCTAAGGCTTCCTCCAAATCCACTTGGAAGCTGTGGATTCAGCCCTGCTTAAACTGAGCATTCTCAGCCCAAGAGAACTTAGGACATCCTAAATCTCAAAGGCATGACAAGAAAGCTCATGAGTCTAGGGCTCCATAGGCACTGGTTTGCGATCCAGTGGCACTGATGCCTCCGGTACCTTCCCAACACAGAACTCAGGAACAATTAGCACTGACAAAGACCGATCGCCAAGAGCATCAGTTACCTGTGGTACCATCTTTGCCTTCAACAGCTGTGTCTCTACTGCAATGCCAGTGATTCAAGTGGACAGGACCCCTCTCATCCTGGAAAGAGCTGAGACCTATGCTCCTCATGAGCACATCTTCGCTTTCCCAGATGCCAAGTCTCCCACTCCACTGAGTCTCTCCCTCACGAGAGAAGTTATAACTCCACCAGGGAAGCTGGCCTTTGGAAGGCTGTCTCCTATTCCATCTGTGGGCTATGATTTCCCTCCAGTGGCAACTTTGGTACCACCGTTGGAACTGGAATTGGCTTTCTCTTCATTGGGAGATATTCTAAACAGACCGATGAACCATTATTCCCTCCTCAAGACCCACCTTCTTGGTCAGAAGACCTGGATCAGCTTAGGAACAACCTCCACCTCTTTGTTTGCCTCAGAGTCATTGGTACACTAGGTCATGGGGACCTTCACAACCCCTATTCAACCCATCTTATTGGCTGTACTGGGGGGCTGTGGGACAAGTTCCATCCCCCAGAATCAGTTTTGGTCTGTTTGGGAGTCTCCCCTTCCCTCCTCTCTGAGAGAACAACCAGAGCTGCCTTGGATCCTACTGGAGAGGAGGAGTAAGCATCGGATCTGGCAGTTCCACCAGAACCGACAAGATTGTCTCCAGATGAGGTGGTGACTCCAATGTGTCCTTCCCCCTTCATGACTAGAAGCAATTCCAGGAAACTCCTTCACAGAATTGCAGGAGAACTGCAGATTTCTCTTGAGGAGGTTCAGGATCCTTAACACAAGCTCCAGGACATCCTCCACTCCTCTGGTTCCAGTCGAATAGCGCTCCCTGTTAACACCTTCCACAGCAGGTTCCTCATCCTAATCCCAGCCCTTGGCTAAATGTTATTTTGGACAGGAGCTTGAGAGCTGCAAAAAAATCTAAGTCCAACACCTCCCGACTCCCATGCACCCTTTGGGGGTCGTTCAGAACTTTTTTTCAACACTTTGAATGTAATAACAGACAAATGGGTGCTAACCATCAACCATTCTGGCTATATGATAGAGTTAAGTCCCTGCCTCCTCCAAAATCCCTTTCTACACCCTCTCTTGGGGGGCGCGGAGAGCGCTCTTGTGAGAATGTTTTTAGGTAAGAAGTGGAGTATAACGAGGAGTGACAGAATCATAGGGTTAGACAGGATTGCAAGGGTCTAACCCCCTGCCAAGATGCAGGATTTGTTGTGTCTAAAACCATCAAAACAGATGGAGAGCCTTCTCAGCAGTGGTACTGCCAAGCCAGTTACCCCCCATTCTATATTTGTGCATTTGTTTTTTCTTCTCTAAGTGCAACACCTTCCATTTGTCTTTGTTGTATTTCATTTTGTTGTCTCTAGCCCAGTTCTCCAGTTTATCGAGATCCCTCTGAATTTTAGCTCTATCCTCCAAAGTGTTGTCAATTCCCACTCCTCAGCTTTGTGTCATTTGCAAGTTGGATCCATTTGCTGTCTAGTCCTACATTCATTAATAAAGGTCATTAATAAAGATGTTAAACAACACTGGACCCAGAACAGATCCCTGTGGAACCCCACTTGATAGAGTATGTTCCTCTGGAGTAACAAGGGAGGAGTTTTTATTCAACATACTTCGTACTCAAAAAGAAGGGTGGTTGGAGACACATTTACCACCTCCGCCACCTCAACTGCTTTATTTGCAAACTCAAGTTTCATGTGGTCATGTTGGCATCCCTAATTCCATTCCTGGAAAAAGACATGTGGTGTACAGCTCTTGACATAAAGGGTGCCTGCTTTTACTTGGACATCCACCCTGCTTTCAGATGTTTTCTCAGATTCATGGTGGGTTCTGAGCACTTTCAATACAGAGTACTCCCTTTCAGAATTGCTGCCATGCCCAGGGCCTTCACCAGCGTGTTCTTTGTGGTAGCAGCTTGCATTGGAGGCTGTGATTTCACCATCTTCCCCTACCTTGATGATTGGCTCCTTGTCACCAAGTCATGCCAAGAGGCCCATCAACTTTGACAATGCTGCATCTCCTCTCCTGTTTGTGTGTAAACACTGAAAAATCCATCCTCATCCCTACACAGATGTTGGACTTCTTCAGAGTGCCCTTAAATTCAGTCATGGTAAGAACTTACCTGCTGAAGGACAGGTTTCAGGCTATTATAGATCAGGTCATAAGCAACCCCTGAGTGCCTGTCAAGAGCTGTCTCCTTCTCCTAAGCCATATGGCCTCATGCACTTATGTAATGCCATTGGCAAGACTCCATCTTCATTGCCTACAAGCGTGGCTCCAAACTGTGTACTTGCCAAAGCAACAGTCCATGAGCACCATAGGGACTGTTCCCGCCAAAATGATGTTGTCCCTGTTATGATGGAAAACCCCCCTCCAGGTATGTGTTGGCGTTCCCTTCCGAGCTTCTGCACCGGACAGAACCATCATCACCCACACATCCTTGTTGGGTTGGGAAGCTCACTTGGACAACCGTATAGCACAAGGCACCTGGACATCTCGAGAGTCCAGGATGCACATCAGTGTTGTAGAGCTGCAGGTGGCGCAAAGGGCTTGTGAAGCCTTTCCCCCACTCGTTCAAGGGCACCATGCCCTCTTAACGTCAGACAACATCACAACCGTCTTTTACATCAACAAACAGGGAGGAACAAGATCCGCCCCCCTGCGTGCAGAAGCGGTTAGTCTGTGGAACTGGTGTATTGGTAATCAGATCGGCCGTCCACTTGCCAGGAAACCAGAATGTGCTAGCACACTCTCTCAGGAGACACTTTGCTGTCCATCATCAGTGGGAGCTATGCGACTCAGTAGTGAACAATATTTTCGCTTGATGGGGAACTGCAACAAAGGACCTGTTTGCCTCCCACACAATGCAAAGTATCCTGTTCCTGAGGAGCCCTAGATCACCACTTACAGGGCAACACTCTACTCCTTCCATGGTCAGACCATCTGAGCTATGCCTTCCCTCCAGTGCCGCTCCTGCCTTGAGGTTTGTGCAAGATTTGGCAGGACAGGGCTCGAGTCATTCTCATTGGCCCAAACAATTTTGGTTCCCGTATCTCCTACTTATGTTGTCTCAGGCACAGATCATTATTCCAACAGTTCCTGATCTCCTGTCCCAGGGGAATTGCAAAGTCAGGCATCCCAACCAATGGCTGCTTAATCTCAGGGCCAGGTTTTTGGATCATCCTTTGAGTGATCATGTTCTGAAGCTGTACAGAGCATCCTTTCTAATAGTAGGAAGGGCGCCACTTGAAAATGTTACCTAGTCAAGTGGAAGCATTTTTTTATCTGGTTGCATCAAAGATGTATATCCACCGAAGCTGCAGACATTCCTTTCATTCTTGGCTATATTCTTTCCTTATAGACAGCAGGTTTGTCCATCATCTCTGTATGGATCCGCTGGGCAGCAATCAGTGCATACAATCCACCTTCACAGGGTACCTGATCTTCACAGACCCACTGAATACCAGATTCTGGAAAGGCCTAATCAGAACCTTTTCTGCCTATAAAAAAGCCAACTCCACAATGGGACTTGAACCTTATTCTCTCAGTACTCACTAAGGCTCCTTTTGAACTATTAGCTTCTTGCTCCATGTCTCTCTTATCCATGAAGATTGCATTCTTGGTTACCATCACCTCAGCCAGGAAGGTTGGTGAGCTTGGGGCGTTAATGGTGGATCCTCCTTACAGTATATTCTATAAGGACAAGATTTCATTATATTTGGACCTTAAAGTCACCCCCAAAGTAGCCTCTGAGTTTCACCTGAACCAGTCAATTCATTAATCTTTGTTCTTCCCAAAACCACACGCCTCCTTGGAAGAAAGGAGGCTCTATTCCGTTGATACTCAACGAGTCTTATCCTTTTATCTGCAGGCAACAAAACCTATCAGGAAGTCTCCTAGACTGTTTGTCGCTCTAGCGGCAAGGGTCAGGGGTCAGGCTATATCCTGACAAAGAATCTCAGAATGGATCTTGGGCTGCATTTTGCTCTGCTATCAGCTGTTTAATCTTCCCTGTCCTCAGTCACTGGAGATGGCAATACTGCTCTTTTCAGCGCTGGTTAGGCCTCAGCTGGGGCACTGTGTCCAATTTTGGTCACCAATGTACAGAAAGGGTGCGGGAAACTGGAAGGGATCCAGAGGCAAGCGACAAAGAAGATCAAAGGGATGGAATGCAAGCTATATGAGCAAAGGCTGAAGGAACTGGGTGTGTTTAGTTTGGAAAAGAAGAGATTAACGGGGGACATGATAGCGGTGTTCAAATACTTGAAAGGCTGCCATAAAAAAGATGGAGTAAAGTTGTTCTCTCTTGCCACAGAGGGCAGGACAAGAGGCACTGGGTTCTAACTAGAGCACAGCAGATTTAGATTAAAACTCAGGAAAAACTTCCTAACTGTAAGAACAGGAGGACAATGGAACAGACGCCTAAGGAGGTCGTGGAAGCTCCTTCACTGAAGGTTTCCAAAAGGAGGCTGGAGAGCCATCTGTCCTGGATGGTTTAGACACAACAAATCCTGCATCTTGGCAGTGAGTTAGACTAGATCAGTGGTTCTCAACCAAAGATACGCAAACCCCTGGGGGTACACAGAGGTCTTCCAGGGGTACAGCAACTCCTCTAGATATTTGCCTAGTTTTACAACAGGCTCCGTAAAAAGCACTAGTGAAGTCAGCACACACTGAAATTTCATACAGATAATGACTTGTCTATACTGCTTTATATAGTATACACGGCAATGTAAGTACAATATTTATATTCCAATTGATTTCTTTTATAAAGAAATGGTACAAATGAGAAAGTCGGCAATTTTTTAGTAACCGCGTGTCTGTGACACTGTTGTATTTTTATGTCTGATTTTGTAAGCAAGTAGTTTTTAAGTGAGGTGAAACTTGGGGGTATGCGAGACAAATCAGACTCCTGAAAGAGGTGCAGTAGTCTGGAAAAGTTGAGAACCACTGGACTAGATGAACCTTGTGGTCCCTGCTTAACCCTATGAGTCTATGATCTCTCGTGCGGGGGCTGTAGGTTAGTGAACTATATAGTATTCCCTTAATGCTCTGCCAGTATGGTGTGTCCCCTAATGTAAATATTTGAAATAATATGGTGTGGGGGGATGTTGAGTGCAGAGACTTCATGGGTGGGGAAGAATGTGGTGGATGCTGCCTGGAGGTGTGTTTTACAGGGGTTGTGTTTCTTTCTTGCTGCAGCCAGGCTCAGTAGAGGCCATCTGTGGAGGATTTAATGGATTCTGGGTTTTTTTTCCAGGTTCGGAGCACAATTTTAAAAAAGATTTCCCTGTTAAAAGACTGTTAAACAGCTGCTAGCAGCTTCTTTAGCTCAGTTAGTCTGGATCTTGCTCCAGGGCTGGCCCTAGACCAAATGGTGCCCAAGGTGAGGAACATCTTCGGTACCCCACCCTCCATTTATTAAACTTTTGAATACCTTATTTTTTATTGCATTTGTAGCCCATTTCACAACTTTGATGCATTATTTGCATGCATGATTTATGCCTGTCATATAAGATGATAAATGTGCACGCTAGGATCTGCAAATCTGTATTTATTCATGCCATATATAAGCAAATCAAATTTTAAAAAAATAATTTCCTCTAAGCTTATAGAAACTTCTTAATTTTAAGAATAACTGAGATGCGGTCGCCTGGGTTGCCTGCCTCTAAATCTGGCCCTGCCTGGCTCCCTAGGATGGTGCGTGAGAGGTATATAATGTAGTACTTAGCCCTTTAAGAGCTGTAGGGACTGAGTGTGCATACTGGACCTTTAGGCTTTGGAAAATTCCATAGGGTGTAGTTTACAATTCTTGTCTGTTGCAGATGGGCTGGAAGCGGGAACCCAAAGATGAACTAGGACTCACTGTAGTTTGCAAATAAGGGACCCTCACACCATGCTAACTTGATTCATATTTGCCGTTACTTTCCTTCAAGTTGTTCTGATCCCAATTAAAGTAATTGAAGTTAAATAGGAAGGCCTGGTTGGCTTGTTTGTGCCTGTAGATACAGCTCGGTGGCTGTGGCTGTTGCCAGCTGCACAAGGGCTGCATCACACATTTATACATACAAGAGGTCCCTTTATGACTTGCGTGTTATGCTCTGTCGTGTCACTTGGATCCTTTTGGCCCCTCTAGCTTTCTGCAAAGCGGAATGAAAGTATCACATGGCAGCCCTGAAGGGACAGGAGGGCCCTCATGACAGCATGGCTTTGAGAAAGATCTAATCGCCCATTGTTATGCTGCAGAATTCCTCATCCAGTTGGGATTTCTCCCGGAGCCGATTGGACATGATGGATGGCGGTAATTTTGTAGCTATGCATGCTCTTAGGTTTGCCGTTTTCCATGTCTTCTACGGGGGGCTGGCGTGGGGAGAGAATGTTTCCAATCAGCTCCAAGCCAGAGGCCTATATTTTATCCGGCGGATTCCAGCTGATGAGGTGTTTGCAAATGAAGGACTCGTGTCTGCAAACAAACATTAAGTGCTGCCCGGTTTCACCTCCACGCACATTGATTTATAGGGACCTTCCACTGGGTCGAGATGCAGATGTTTCTTTGCCTGAATTGGGCCCCAGACAGCTTAAACCTATTTCAAAGAAATATGACGTTTTGCGTGATCCTCCTTATAACACCACTTCCTCTGTGTAAACACTATTTGCATGGGTCACCCCTGCAATGAACTCTTTGCTATAACTTTTCCCTATCATAAGACTAGTGAACTCATGATCCTAGCACCACTGAAGTCCAAGTTAATCACAATGTTGCCAGCTCTCCCATAATGTAAGAACAAATTTCTTAGCTGAGTGTACTATCCCTGCTGTGTAAAGACTCCCACTGACTTCAGTGGGCTTTGGATCAGGCCCTGTGTGATTTAACCCTGTTCTGTGGAAACCCACTCTAGGTAAGAAAGGTGTTATAACAGTGGCTCTCAACCTTTCCAACATAGTGTCCCCCTTTCAGGAGTCTGATTTCAGACCCGGGCGGTGGGGCTCGGGCTTTGGTTTGTTTGAGCTCTGGGTGGCTGGGCTTGGGTTTTGGCTTCAGCATGTATCTAGCTTTGCAGGGCCCCTACTTGCCATCCCCTAATGCCGGCCCTGCATTTGTAACCCCCGTAAACCCAACCCGCAACCCACCCCTGGGGGTCGCCAGCGCCAGGTTGAGAAACACTGATATATTATGTAGAGCAGGATAAACAAGTCATTGTATGAACTTTTAGTTTCTACTGACTTTGCTAGTGCTTTTTGTGTAGCCTGTTGTAAAATTAGGCAAATATGTAGATGAGTTGATGTACCCACTGGAAGACCTTTCTGTACCCCGGGTTTAGAACCATGGTGTTGGACTTATGTAACTGTGTCCGTGGGGGAGTTCGTTATTACAAAGAGCGCCATCTATTGGCACATAAGGATAGGTAACATTGTTCATAAGCTTAATAGTTCTGGCCACATGCTCACACAGCCTTTCGTTCTTCCTAATATTCAGTCTTAATTTCCCTTTTGCTCTGTTCCACTCTGTTGTTCATATTATTGGTATTGCCGTAGCACTGGGGAGCCCCAGTCCTGGGCCAGGACCCCATTGTGCCAGGCACTGTACAAACACAGAATGAAAAGAGTCCCTGCACCAGAGGGCTGACAATTCAAAGTTACGGTCCTTGACTGCAACCTAAACAACGCATATCCCTCAATAAAAAGAAAAGGAGTACTTGTGGCACCTTAGAGACTAACCAATTTATTTGAGCATAAGCTTTCGTGAGCTACAGCTCACTTCATCGGATGCAGTGAGCTGTAGCTCACGAAAGCTTATTCTCAAATAAATTGGTTAGTCTCTAAGGTGCCACAAGTACTCCTTTTCTTTTTGCGAATACAGACTAACACGGCTGTTACTCTGAAACATATCTCTCAATGGCTGTAGTTCCCTCTGCTGTAGGTTGAGTTTCTGGGAATGGATGGGGAACAAACTGGTTGCAGCTGAAAAGCAGAAACCAGGCCTGGGAAAGAGAGACCACTTCCCCCTTAATCCTTAAAGCCGGGGGTCTGTTTAAAACAAGAACCCGATGCGGCAGAGGAGTTTCAATCACGATAATTTAATAAAGCAACCTGTGTGTTTTTTGTTCTGCCTGGTCTCAGGCCTGTGGGTCGGGGCTGCTCACTCTATTAGCTGTTCCTGCACATTGTCCGAAGCAGTCACCCAGTAAGTACCTCATTAATCAGCAGTCTGAACAGTGCTGTGTCTCTGTCATGTGCGACTCCCATGTGCCCTGCTGGGGAAGGGGGAATTTTATGGAGGTTTTTTATTGTATTTCTTTATTTTGAAGCAGGGGGTTGGGGTTTTTTTGGTGAATTTTTACACCTACTTATTATTTATTATTAAGCACCAACAATTTCCTCCCTCCCCCAAGCCTTCTCTGTCCCAAAGAAGATAGATTCCTGGCCGTGCTAGCACTAGAAGTGTGCATAGAGTCTAGTATTTATATTGTGACCTGTCCCTGCTCTGAAGAGCTTATAATCTAAATCAATGGTTCCCAAACTGGGGTTTGTGAAATGTTACAGGGGCTTCTCGGGAAAAAATTCCCTAATGGTGGACAGAACTGTCCCTAGGGTCCCTGGGCAGCACGGGGCCACCAGCCCGGAGCCCCTGGACCTCCAAGAGCTAAGCAGATCAAAGCAAGCGTATCTATCACACTGAGGAGATTTAAACTTCAAGACTCATAAGAAATGGAAAAAGGAAGGTGGATATTTTTTTCTGTTTTTAAAATTAAATAGACAGCTAGTTTTGTTCTTAAAATTATTACGAAGAACAAGTTTAAGCTTTGTTGTAACATGCACTGTTTGCCTGGACTGCTCAAGACCTGAATGCTTGTTTAGGAGGAACTCTTGGAGTTGGCTTCTTAAATACCTTCATGCTGTTTCACATCTGATACTCCTTGATGAAACATAGGAGCCTTGTCATATAACAGGCGTATTCAAAGTGATACAAGCTACGAAAGTCAGATTGTGGAAGAGTGTTGCCATTTTCATAATGTAATAAAAATACTGTAATGATAATAATAAATAGTGTGTAATAAGTGTGTCATAAAATCAAATTTTATATTTCCAAGATCACTGATCTAAACAGACAAGACAAAGGGTGAGAGGGGAAATAGAGGCACAGAGAAGCGAAGTGATTTGCCCAGAGGCACTCAGCAGAGCTGGGGCTAGAACCCAGGTCTCCTGAGTCCTAGTCTAAATGCATCATCTGACCATTTTGTTTTAGTTGTTGCTTGTTATTGTTCTCCCTAATAAATGCCTATTGTTAGAGGAGAACAATGGCGCCCTTTATAACGAGGGAGATATGGACCTAGGTGCTATGAGGTGGATTTTCAAAGGCATACCACAGGGAACGAGTCGATGAAGACATCAGCTGATGAAAATTAGCCAGGCTCTGTTGACATCAGTGGCGTTATGTTGATTCACACACCAGCTGAGGGGCTGGCTCATGGTTCTCCACTTGTGTACACCTGATTCCAGTGGAACTACTCCTGATTCACCCTGGTGAAAGTGAGCAGGGATTCAGGCCCAGTCATTGATGTCTTTTCATGTCATTAAATAAAAATAACCCTGCTACACCTTGCTGTGCACTACCTTAGCTGAGTAGCAGCAGCATCTTATTGTTCGAACCCCTGCCTTGCCTCCCCAGTCCCCACCCTGTGATTTGGCCATTGTCCAAAATTCAACTGTTAAAAGGGGGCATGTAAAGGGGCATGTAAAGGGGCTATGCTGGGGCTCGACCCTCTCCTGGGCAGCGGGGAACCACACTGGCTCGCTACACACAGTTAACTTTGGGGAATTTGTCTGGCCACTGGAGTCTCCCTCGGCAGCCCTTGCAGTAACTGGACGGAGCACCGTAGGCCCGAACCCTGAGTCAGGGTGGGGCACCAAATAGTCAGTAGCTCTGGCCATCGGGCAGGGACTGAGCAAATAGCCCAATGTTAGCAGGCCAGGCCCTGGGTCAGGGCAGGGGGAACAAACAGTCAATAGCTCAGGCCCTCAGGCAGGGGCTGAGCAACATAGCATGTGTGAGTTAGCCCAGGCCTCGAAGGACCTGGAAGAGGGGGAGACGGCCACCCACGAGTTGGGTGGCAGGGGGGACGCAGGCCCACCCACTCCACTGTGTCCCGGCCCGGGGCCCTAGCAGCGGCAAACGACCCGCTGCTGGGTCAGTGGGGATCCTGGCCGCCAGACACTGACATGAGCTCTGGCAGAGTTACAGCCGGGCTAGGGTCAGCTGCCCCCGGGCTACTTCCTGACTCCCCTCCTTCTGGTACCTGGGTCCCGGCGGTGCTCTCTGGGGGGTCCAGCACCAGGGGTTCCTTGGGGCAGTGGACAAGCGGCAGGGCCGGCCGCTCCCCCCGGAGAGCGGGCGCGGGCCGGGGCCGGCCAGTCCTGGCGTGGACCTGGGGCCGTGGGGTTTTCCCGGCTACATCTGGCCTCCCCGACGACTGGTCCTCTAGTGAGCTCTGAAGCCCCCTCCCCTTTATACTTCCAGGTCGCGCCTTTCTACTTCCGGGTCGCCACCTGTCCCTCTGAGGGGCGGGCTCAGAGCTTCCTGGCTCCGCCCACTCTGGTGTCCAGAGGGGCTCGACCCTCTCCGGGGCGGCGGGGAGCCGCACCGCCTCGCTACAGGGCAGGGACTGAGTCTTTTGATCTGCACTGTCTAAGAGGCAGGCTGAGCCAGCTAATAGGGCACCAGGCTGGGCTTCAGGAGACCTGGCTTCTATTCCCGGCTCTGCCACTGACCTGCTGTGAGACCTGGGGCAAGTCACTTCCCCTCGCTGGGCCTCTGTTTCCCCTTCTGTCTTGTCTGTTTAAACGGTGAGTTCTGCGGAGCAGAGATGGTCAATTACTGTGTGTTTGCACAATCCCTAGTGCAGTGGGGTCCTTGTCTGTACTGGGGCTTCTAGATGCTTCCCACTGAAAAATCAAAGGGAGATAGGGGTGTGGGTGTGTGCGTGTACCATTTGTGCCTTTGAGAATCCCCTGTTAAAATCCCTAGGAGAGGAAGAAGAACAGGTCCAAATGGTTTGAACTGAGAGATTACCATGAACTAACCCGCTTACTAAGGCAAAGCTGGATTTTCCTGAGGCATGCCCAAGAGAAACGCATAGGGAATCGCACCTCATCAGTTCATCCCCTACCTATCCTCATATCTAGTGGAAATCCCAGTGTGGGCAGCTGGGAGCTCATTGTGTTTGTGTCCATGGACACTGGGTAACTCAGGGGACAGACTCTCACATGCACACACTGGGGATGGGTAGGGGAGTTAAAAAAATATATCAGTACAGACCAAAAACCGTAATATAATCTTTGTCCTGAAAATCATTAGGGTTGTTTTTTTTTAATCTCACAATTTGTTCGTGGCTGACTCCTAACTTCTGAATCTTTGAGGTTGGCAACGCCACTGACTGGCCATGTGACCTTGTACAAGTCACAGGCCTCTCTGTGCCTCTATTTCCCCTTCTGCTCTTTGTCTATTTCGTTTGTAAGCTCTTCGGGGCAGGGAGTGTCTTTGTACACTACCCAGGACAAGGGAGGCTCTCATCTCAGTTGGGGCCTCTAGCTGCTACTGTTCTACAAATGATCAATCATAACAAAGTGCCTGGAGTCTAATTTACCAGGAAAACTCCACTGAAGAGATTATAATTACAATTTCAATGCATTTTTCTCCCCCGCGCCATGCAAAATCAGGTTACAGGAAATTCCGAACAGCTCTGTGGCATAATTAGGAGAGATTAATACTACGGTTTCCAGTGTTTTCCCATTGATCCACTCGCCAGCACCTCCCCTTGTAATAAGAAGCATTCCATCAGCGCATTCGGGATTTAGAAAGTTTCCAGTCTTGTTTCCCTTTCTCATTGGAGGTGGATTTATCTCTGCTTTGCAACACCCCAGTGTTTATTCTTCTGCTTCCTAACACTTGCCCCTCCCCTAGCTGGTCCCTTTTGCTTGTGAATGAAAAGATAGATCTATATTTTTTAAACGTTTGCGGCAATTACGTCCATTCCCCAACTGCTCTCCAAGGGAAGATCTACCCTTGGCTCCACCTTCAGCTACAAATCCCTTTTCAATATGTCAAGGGCTTCCAGCTGAGCCCTTGTCAAGCTGAAATATTGTTAATGCTTCCCCCATCCCCCTTAGTTCAAAGTTTCCCCTCAGGGTGCTGTCCATTCCTGCAGCATTTCTTTGCTCACATAAATAGCGCTCATTGCCGTCCTTCTCTTTCTAGATGAAGGGTGAAATTCACCCCTGTGCAGCAAAAAGTCCATGTGCCTCTTAAATCCATGTTAAGCATTCACTATAGGGCTTAAGTGGGACTTAAATGGTGTCTTTTTGTGGCTCTCTGCACAGAGGTGTATTTCTCCATCAGAGTGCATGGCAATCACTGTGGAGCCATGCCTGAAACCAAGCCAACGATTAACGAGTGGGGTTTTCAAAAATCCCTCCCAATGTAAACAAAGCTGGTTTTGTTTGTCATCGTGACTTAATTCTAGGGCAGCCAGAAATATGCCTGATCCGAAGCCCACTGAAATCAAGGGTGAGACTCCCACTGACTTCGATGGGCTTTGGGTAAGGCCCTGTCTGAATAACTTCTTTGCACTCTACAGCAGTGGTTCCTCAAACTGTAGGGACATGCCCCACTTGGGGTTGTGAAAGAACGTTTGGGGGGGCACAGTGGGGCCTGGGTCAGCCCTCATGGGGGCAGGGAAGGAGCGCCACCCAGCCCCACTCTGCCCCCAGCTGTACTCCTTCTCCTGGCCTCAGCCCCCCTGCCCCGACCATGGCTGAGCTCCGCTCCCAGTCCCTGCTGCAGCTCCGGCCCCGCTCCCAGCCCTGGCTCCCAACCACGGCTCCTGAGGGGGTACGGACAGATTCCATTACGGGTAAGGAGGTGTGGGGTGACATAAAAAGTTTGGGGACCACTCACACCTCACTCTTTTCCATGTGCTGCTGTTCCATGTCTTGTCTCATGCCTTACCCCGTGTTTATCTTGTCCGTGTTAAAATGTAAGCTCTTTGGGGCTATGTATGTACAGCACTATGTACATTTATCGTTCCATAAAATTATTTTTATTGATACTAAAGAGAAATTTATTGAGTATTTAGTATCCACTATGAAATATTTAATACTGGTTCCACGTTTGTGAATTTTCAAAGGGACAATCTCTCCATGAAAGTAGCACCATGAATCCCTTACCTCTCATACTAATCAGACATTTGATATTTGAACCTGAAATGACTTTAACAATCCAATCTAGTTTTCACCATTTATACTGTTTGTTTGCTGTGTGCATTTCACTTTGTGAAGCCAGGCTGGTCAGTTTCGAATCCTGGTTATAGTCAGTTTCATTTTTCCAAGTCTGGTATTAATTTATTACGATTTGGGTTTCCAAAGCTGCAGAGCAAATTTACCCAAATTATTTACCCTGAAATACAGATAGCAACTTTATTCCTATGGGGAAGAAAGTCTACTCTCGATGCTAACATGCAAATCCCTTTGTCTGACATTCTGCCACCCTTACAGCCACTTATGTTAACCGAACTTACACAAGGTCAAATTTGGCTCAGAAGCTTTGGTTAAAACTCCCCTCCCATCCCAATTTTTCCTGGGCCCCTTCAATTCCCCCCCTACAGAGATCTCCCCTATAGTTTGCAGAGCAGATTGTGCATGGAAGAATTAAACAATTTGCTGTTATTTACATGGCAGAGTTTATGTGACTCATTGTGTAAATATATCACAGCATCTTAGAGAGAGGACCAAATGATGTTTAAGTAAACTGAGGCAGGATATGGGCATTTAAAGGGTAAACAGTCCGAATGTGAATAGAATTTTCTGTATATACCTTATCTCTGGGAGGGCTGGTGTGAAGTCACTGAGCAGATTTTTTATTATTATTAGAAAGGCCGGCTGCCATTCCAGACATAAAAGATATGTTGCTCATTCCTTGGGTTGCAGCATGAGTGTTTCAGGGCCTAATGGATTCTACCACAAAGGAATTTCCCAAGGGCTGTAGTTTAATTAGACTGATTAATGGCAGCTTCCCCAGGACAGAGAATCCTATCATACAATTGGGCTTAGCGAGGGCCTGGTGTCAATACAGAGGAAGCTTTCCATATTTTCCATGTGCATTCTGCATTTCTTTAATTTTCATAGAGAGACAAGGTGGGTCAGGTAATATCTTTGATTGGATCAATAAAAGGATTGATCATATATAATCTCCCCTCTTGTGGCTAGTCCCACTGAATCCAATGGAGCTGTGTGAGAAGCTGAATCTGGATTCATTTAACCCCTGTGCCAAGAGCACAGGCTAGGCCTCACTTGCATGTCACATGCTGACTGGGGCACAGGCTTTTGTGTATTAATTGTGAATAGGCCTGGCTGGGCCTTTGCACAGAGGGTGAATTTCACCCTTTGTGAGTAAGAAATGGGCCTGTAGTTTGTAGTAGGTTAGCCTTAAAAAGAACAGGAGTACCTGTGGCACCTTAGAGACTAACAAATTTATTTGAGCATAAGCTTTCGTGAGCTACAGCTCACTTCATCTGTAGCTCACGAAAGCTTATGCTCAAATAAATTTGTTAGTCTCTAAGGTGCCACTGGTACTCCTGTTCTTTTTGAGGATACAGACTAACAGGGCTGCTACTCTGAAACCTGTCAGTTAGCCTTGTTATCCTGAAAGGTGCGAATGGCTGCCATCAAGTGAGTCTTTGATCACGGAGCTGGTCAAAGCCCATGCGAGTACCACGCACCCTTCTTACAGGCTCAGTGAAGGAGCAAACAAGCCCCTCAGTTGTGGTAGAGACAGCTGGAAACAACGGAGACTACTGCCCAAGTCACTAGGCTGCATGACAAGGCCTGAGCGAAGATATGCCAGGTAGATTAACAGGGGTTTGCCATTGCAGTGACAGCATTTATCCTGTGGGGGCCCCTACCTGTATGCATGATGCCATTTTGCTCTACAAAATGGCGTCCTCTGCACACCATGACCTCGCATGTACCGCATGGAGGAAGCCATTTTGCTCGGGGATCCATACAGGTACGATGCGTTCCGGCTCCATTACAGCTGTGTTTGTCACTAGGGTCAAGTACCCATGTCAGGGGCTCCCCTCACTGCCTTGGGGCCCCTGAAGTTGCACGGGTTGCATGTGCCTAGCACCACCACTTGGCAAACACAGGGAGCAGGAGTTTGGGTTTGCAAGCTATGTGTCGTTAGAGGCAGAAAGCCCAGAGAAGCAGATGTGAGTGGTAGAGCCCTGCTGCGGGACTGGGATCCTGCAGGACCCACTGCCAGAATAGTGGAAGCAGATAAAATGTCCTTTGCTGAGGGCAGGATTGGGTGGTCAAAAAAAGCAGACTGCGGTAATTTGCAGGAAAATACAAAATCTCTCATCAGTTTGTCATAAATAGAATTTCAGCAATGTGTAAAGCAAGTTTTTCTTTTTTGTAATACTTAACTTTAAGCGACCAATGGAAAGAGCTTTGATGTCTATTATAACAAGAGTAAAAGTATTTTTTACATGCTTTAAGCAAGAGTTGTTTTTTTCTTTTAGTGGTCAAAATTGTGTCTAAATTCTGTTTATATATATATAAAATATTAACTGACCATTGTGGGTCTTATTTATTTATTTTTGTAATAACATGGGGGAATCTGTCTCTCTTGCGGGATCTAAGGTTTTTGTGGGTGGGAGCGGGGTCAAAATGCTGGAAACAATGTGGGAGTGGGTGGGAGTGGGTATTGCAGAGCAGGATGGGAGCTGGATTAAAAAAATAGTCCCGCGCAGGGCTCTAGTGAGTGGGACCCTGAGAGGAAGCAGAGAGAC